TTAATATTTTTAAAAGTTCAATATTTACATGGAGGAAAATTAAAATGAAGTTTTACAACAATCAAACTATTTGAGCATTTATTTTTACTAATTGAATTGTATTTATCAAATTCAATTTATTGGTCCAGTACAAACAGGTATGTTTATTCTAAAAATGAGAAGAAAAAAAATGTTTTAATGAAAAAATCTAAAAATAGATCACAAATAGATAAGTTTATGCTTGTGTTGATGCGTTTAAGATTAGGACTTCTGAATAAAAGCTGACCTCTTTGGATTATCCCCAGCATTATGTTTTTGTACATTAACAACTTACATTAAAATGTTAATTCAAGTTTTAGGACAAGCATTAATTTTATGGCTTCCACATGAATTTGTAACAATCTACCAGAAGTTTTTGTTGGTTATCAAAAATGTAGTGTAATTCTTGACAGTGTAGAAGTGTTTATAGAACATTTAAAACCTTTTGATAAGCAATCAAGCACCTGGTCAGACTATAAGCATAATAGTACATTTAAATTCAAATTTAATCCAAATGCATATATTACATTTCTTTCTTCATGTTATGAAGGAAGAGCAAGTGAAATGTTTATAATAAGGGACAGTTTATATAATCTGGCAGAACGAGCTGATGATATTAAGTTGAAACGAAGGTTTTCAAATACAGGATACCAAGGTTTTCAAATACAGGAAGATTGTTGTTAAATTTTTGTACTTTAATTGTGCCAACTGGTGCTGCTTGAAAAGTCAGTTAACCTCCAAAGTAGTTCAAAAAACTAAACATGTTCAAATCTAAGAATACATGTAGAACGAGCTATAAAGTTTATAGCTCATAATAATGTAGCATGGTAATTGGCATACTCCCATTTAGAATTCTGCACATTTTATTACAGTTTATTAAACTGTAATAAAACGAGGAGAATTCTAAATGGGAGTATGCCAATCTCCATGCTACATTATGCATTTTATTAACATGTGCTGCACTGCAATTCAAACCCAAAACATTACTTAAATTATTACTTAGTAAATAAATTTGTTTCACTTTATTATTTTTGATTGTAAAAGACTTTTTTTTGTGTAACTATTAATTATACCGCTTCATGTATACCAGTGTTTCCTAATACCGCTTCATGTATACTTATATGTTATTTTATTTATTAATGATTCTTTTCTTATTTATTTATCAATGAGGTTAGATGTTTGTAGAAATTAGTAGATTTAAAAATGGTAGATTTATAAAATCTGTGAGCCTGTGAGAAACAAATCTGTGAGTATAAATTTTTTCTAAAAAATTCAAAACTTAAAAATTTCGAAATTCAAAATTTCAAAATTCAAAATTTCATAATTCGAAGTAATTTTTTTTTAATTTCTTGGTATGAAACTTGTAATTTTCCTATATTTTCAACCATATTTAAAGAAAAGGACTGCAAATATGGAAACAAAAGAACTTAATAAATAGAATAGAGGTTGATTGATTATTACAAGATTGAATAATTAACGCTGCAAAGCTCAATCAGTGTATTAATAAAATAAAAAGAAATGAAAGAATTTCCTAATTTTTGCTGGGGTTGTAACTACAGTGAAGCAATTGATTCCAAATGCACAAATTTAGTGGACAACAAATAACAATCTAGGACATTTTTTTTATGGTTATAAAGGGCTGACAAGTTTAAAGATTGTTTCAAGTAGCACAAACTCTAGATACGCCACTGATTTTTGTAATAAACAAAAGCTTTTATTTCCTAGTAATAACAAGTGCTTTTGCAACTTGTTTCAATAAAATAATTTAAGTCTGAATCCGCTAGGATATTAATTAAAAACTTATTTTGAAGAAAAATAACTTTATTTTTGAAGGGGTCTTACTTTTTGTGATAAGGAGGAGTCAAAAATTGCAATATGTCAATATAGGTTATAGTCCATAAATTAGGACTATACCCACAATAACAAAATCACTCAATTGGTGTATGCTTTAAGTAAAAACCATTAAAATAGTTAAGGAAACTAATAACACTTTATTGCTTTTTAAAAAACCACAAAAATGCAACTTTGAAGACTAGAACTTTTTTGGGTTTTTTATAAACTTTTTAAAACTTTTGGTTTTCATTATTTAATTTTATTTGCTTTATTTAACTGTTTTTTATATATTTTTTATTGATTTATTAAGAGATTAGCATAGCGGAGTGTACGACTGACTTCGATACATTGACTGACTTAAATAGGTAGGTAAACATTCACTGACTTGGTAGAACATGCAGGGAGCGTACATATATCAACTGAATTAAATAGATAGACCGATGCATTGAGACCATTCTTAAAAATATAAAATATTTTTGTCTAAGGTTTAGTTTAATTTTTATATACAGCAGGGCTCAAATTAAGCAAATCGTGATAAAAAAAATAATTTGATCAACACAAAATGTTTGAACAAAAAAATATTAGTCTTCTTGAACTCTCTTGTTCAAATAATTTTGAATTTGAAACTTTAATTTTGAAAAATTCAAAAGAATTTTGCAAATTCTTAACGCTCCCTTACAATTACTATAACTTTAATTGAATGATAACTGCAGTGACGTCATAACATAGATCTAGCTACATTAACAATATCTGATTTAGAAGAATGGTGCAAGAAAGGAAGGAAATTTTAATTAAATTGTAAACATCTTATCAAAGATGTTTACATTTAGTTGAATACTTTTAGTTAAAAACATCTTATTAAAAATAAAATTTTGGTGATAACTGCAGTGACGTCATAACATAGATCTAGCTACATTAACAATATCTGATTTAGAAGAATGGTGCAAGAAAGGAAGGAAATTTTAATTAAATTGTAAACATCTTATCAAAGATGTTTACATTTAGTTGAATACTTTTAGTTAAAAACATCTTATTAAAAATAAAATTTTGATGATTAGAAAAATTTTGGTGATTTTTTTTTTTTAAAGAAGTAGGAAGGCATTTTAATTAAGTTTTTTGCGATTAGATTTTTTTGTGTGTTAACTTGAGTCCTTTACAAATATGTGATATATATATAAGCTTTAAAAACTAAAACTTATTATATGTGTTAACTGTAATTAATCACAAATTCAAACATAAAAATAAATTTACTTAAACTTTATGTAAATATTTATCATAAATTAGTTTTACATAATATAATTTTATTTTTCTTTTATTTTCAACTTTGCTTCGAACAAGGCTGCAAGCAACCACTATTTATTAGAGTTGAAAGATACTAAAAGAGAAAAGATGAAGTTTATAAAGCAAGATAATAATTGACAGACATCTTAAAAGATTGCAAATTAGATGAATCAGGAAATCAAGATGAAGGAAGCAAATTCAAAAGAACTGATGTTCAAGGAAAAAAACTAGACAAATAAGAGTTTTTGGAGCACTTAGGAACAGTCACAGAAAAAGAATCAGACTTAATTGAATGACGAGTAACATGAGAATGAATTTAAGTAGATGACACAAGAGACGCTAGCTCTTTAGAGCAGTGCCCATTATAGTATTTGAGGAAAAGAGAAAGAGAAGCAACATTACGACAATGTGATTATGATTAGAAGTTGGTTGCATAAGCAGGTCCAACTATGTTTACAATGCGTTTTTGCTCCTTGTCTAAAAGAGAAAGGGCATCATTAGAAGATCCGCCCCAGATATGGCAACAGTATTCCATACAAGGATGGATTTGAAATTTATAGATTAAATTATTAAATAGAATCTGAAGGAGAAAGTGTTGAGCATGATAAACAGATGCAACTTTAACAGATGCTAATTTTGCAGTCAATTTAATATATGGTTTCCAAGAAAGATAGGAAGTAAGAGTTAATGCTAGAAGATGAAGGGCATATGACTCATTGAGTACATTACCGTTCCTAAATAAAGGAAGATCTAAATTATTGCAGTAACAATTGACTAAAAAAAATAGGGTTTTATCTGAATTAAAGTTCACCAGCAACAGTGAGCTCCATGCTATAGCAGAAGTGAGATCCTTTTCAAGCTCAAATGTCCTCTCCAAGCAATTAGAGAGTGTTAACTTCTTATCCAGACAAGAATAAATGGTAGCATCATCAGCGAACAATGCTACCTTAGATGTGAGAATATCTGGATGATCGTTGATATAAATTAAAAAGAGTACAGGGCCAAGGATTGAACCATGAGGAACTTCTGAAGTTACAGGATATGAAGAAAAGTGTTGCCCATCGAGGACAACTTTTATAATACAGTTGGTAAGGAAGGATTCAATAATCTTAAAGATGTTACCTAATACACCATAAGAAGAAAGCTTACGGAGAAGCAATAGCATTAACCTCTCTGTCTCTATCTAATGTATGATAAAACATATTGGTTATTACTGTTAGCAAACCAGCTGTAGAACGAGAAGTTCAAAGTCCATATTGATGATCAGAAAGTAAGTTATTGGATTCAAGATTAAGTGAAAAATTGTTTCTTAATTAAAGATTGCTTATATAGAAAGAAGACAAATGGTCAGATTGCTCTCCAGATTTTTTGAAAATAGGGATAAAAAATGCCGCTTTCCAGCATGCCGGAAAAAAAGACTCTGATAAGCACTTGTTAAATAGATTTCAAAGTATAGACAACAGCTCCAGCAAACACTTCTGCAAGACTATAACAGATATGTTGACTGAACCACAAGCTATAGAAGCGTCTAAGCAGGAAATCACTTTAGATACAGAAGCTGGAGTGGTTTGAATGTCAAGCAATGGATCAACCTGCTTGTTGACTATATCATGCAACTAATGATATCAAGAGATGATATTGATAAAAAGTTCTTAGCAAACAATTCAGCTTTGTCATTAGGTGGTGACAAAATCTGAACCATACTAGAGAATTAGAATAACAAATTGGTTCTTATTATTGATACTGTTAAAGACTCTCCAAAATTCACAAGCCTAATGTTTGAGATGAAATACGAGATTAAATTAAGCATTGACTACTGATATAAACTATAAAAACCATAATCAAACATAAATGTAACTAGCCCTTACCTCAATTTTATGTAAATATTCTTTCTGTAACCTTTGATAATAATTAGTAATTTGCTTATTTTTTTCTAGCAGCACTTTCCCAGCCTCTGCAGCCAAAAGTAAATAATGATCCTTTTCAGCAATTTGTTGGTAAACGTCTTCATTTATAAATAAATATAATACAATAGTTATAATTTTTACAAAATTTTTGATATATTAATTAAACCATAAATTAAAATAAAAACGAACTAGGAATATATTATAGTACTATAATACTATTAATATATATATTATATTTTGATAAAGATAAAATTTATATAGATAAAATATAATAAACATATATAAATATCATAAAATAATAAATATAAAAAAATGTATATTAATATCATAAAATAATTGTGACATTATATAAAATTATTAGCCAGTGGTTATTAAACTGCAATTAAATAATGATAATTTAAATGCCAGTTTTTTTATCTACCGAAATAAATAAATAGATAAATAGTTTCTTTATGTCAAGTTATTTTATGATTCCCACATTTTCAATTTCTTATCTTTAACTAATTGCAATTTTATTTGCAAAAAAATAAAAAACAAAAAATTATTAAAAAATTTCTAAATTTGTATAATACATACAATTTTTTAAAAAATTTATTGGTAGTAAATTGTTGGTAGATTTTATTTAATAAAATTGTTATATTTTTTTCACTAACTCAACTTATGATTAGTTGCCATAATTAAAAAAACACAAACAATAAGCAAGACAAAACACAAATACTAGTTTGTGCTATGCTTAGTTTAAGTATTTTCTTTTTTAACTTGTTTTTGATATTAAATATCCACACTTTTAATTAAGATAATTATCCAATACCAAAACCTACAAAGTATCGAGGAAAATAGTTTGATTTAACAAATATATATACTTAACATAACTTTCTTTGTTGTTTGTTTTTGATTTTCCATGCAAATTAATAACAAGTTGTATTTTTAAAAGTTCATTAGAATAACTACTTTAAAATAGATTCATCATATAATAAACTGCTACCTAATGAATTCATAGAATAACTTTATTTTTACTTACAACAATGTCACCTGATTAATAAATTTTGGTGTTTTTTTTCTTTCATGTTGTTATATTAATAATTTGTAAAATATATATAAGAAAAAACAAGAAAAAAACAATCTTATTACAATTATTTGAATTGTAAAAAAAAATACATACCTCTTTCAATACACGTGTTTTGATTATCTTTATCAGAAGATTTCAAACTAATATTATCAGTTTCCTCTTCATCAGTTATCATGACAGTTTTCGTAATTTGCTCAGTAATACATTTAAAAGATAATGTTGTACTCTAACTTTAACTTTGGTCAATTCTTTTCTTTGCGAAAATATAATAACAAAGTTTTAAATTATTGCTTAAGTATTGCTTTTCAGTTACGTCACTAATGAATATTCTATTTATAAACAAAAATATACCAAAAACTTAATCTTCGATTGAATTTTTTTCTTGCTTTCTTGAATTCAAGTGATCTATTAAGTAATAAATCTAAATAAGTAGTTAAAAAAATCTAATGTATATTATACAATAAGTAAATTAGAAATATTGTATAATAAGAATATAATATAATGTAAACCTCACGTAATATATAATTACATATATAATAATATATTACAAATATAATAATATATTACAAAATTGCGTGGGAGAAAAAAATGTTACGACTCTAAGCGTAAATTGGCAATTAAATTTCATTTTATTCTTTTTAAACCCTTTTTCTAGACTCATTAAAAAGATAACGACTTTTTAACAGATTGAAGACAGATTTGCATTTCCAACGATCAAATCCTGAAAATATAAACCAATGAAGTACATAATATAATAAAATTACGAATAAATATATACATTTCAAAGAATTAGGTTTTTTTTTTGTTTGTTTATTTAATTAGTTATTTAGGTGCTCTAAAGAAAAAAATTGTCTTATCGCTTATTTCAGAAAATAGATAGAGTATAAAAAACTAAAATTTATACGCATTGATTGTGTTTATCTAAAATAGCATTTAAAATTTAAAGTAATATTAGTTTAGTTTAGATTAGTTTAAAAAAGTCTAATAAAAAAATTCTCGTTTATCGTCTGACGACTAACGTTTCGTTAGTGATTATCTTAACGTTTTACTCAATTACAATACAAAACATATTGTAACCAAATAACGTTTCAAACGTAATCAAATAACGTTTTATAGTCTATTATAATACAAAAAAAAGGCAACTTTTTTTTTTATTAAAATGTAACGTTGAGGCAACACTCACAACAAGTCGTATCACTGAAAGAAATTTTCAAGCTGATGGTGACTAACAAAATGACAGCGTAGTACCAAACAATTGTCTGGTAATGTTTCTATTCCTAATTTTAGCAAAACGTCAAAGTAACATTAGCAACTTGTTAAAGCATTTACGCAAAGGGGTGATAGGGTCAAGGCCGGCGCGATAGGGTGTGTGTGGGGGGTAACACCCCCCATCAATAACTTTTAGTCGGCAAATTTGACCCTTAGTCGGCAAATATGACCCTTTTTGACTAGTTAGGCGGCAAATGTAGACCCTGTCGATAGGTTGGTCGGTAAAGTCAGTCGGCAAATGTCGTTATGGCAGTTGGTAAATTTTAAAAAACCAGGACCTTTTTTTTTTTTTTTTTAGACGGCAAAAGTTGTAATGGCACTCCCCCCCCCCCCCACGTGACCCCTACTCGCGCCGGCCCTGGATACATAATATTCTTTCAGAATGGAAGAGCGTTTTTATAAAAGACGCGTAGTCTGTTTTGATAAAAATAAAATAATTATCCGGCGCAGTATTTTTTTGGATATCAATAATTTTGTAATCGTAAATATAAAAAAGATGAACAATCTTTTTTATTCATACTAACATATAGATTTGCACTATTTTCAATAAAGAATCCGAATATTGCTCTTTAATTAAATAAGCGTGTATATTTGTAATTGCGTAACGTTTGATAAATTGAACTCGTGGAATTATAATTCGCGAATTTAGCAGACGTTGCACACAAATTACGATGCCGGCTTTAGCCTAATAAGTGACATTGGTACGAAAGAAGGAGTGAATCTCATGTTTAAATGCTCCTCCGTGGTTCTCTGTGATAAGACTGTTAGATCTTTTTGGAGCCAGGGGCGGATCCAGACCATCTAGTAAGGGGAGATTTTTTCAATTTGGTGGATCTAGATAATCCAAGAAGGAAGGGGGGGATCAGTTTTTCAATTCGGTGGATCGAGACCAGACTAGGAGGGGGAAGGGGCTGCAATTTTCAGGATGATATCTTATAACTATAATGATATGATAACTTAATAATATATATGATATCTTTTTAGTTAGTTTTTTTAGAATTTTGTTCTTACACTGTTTTAATCAATGTAACTATGAAATTATATTATATATCCCAAATGTCTGATTTTTTTTTTTTTTGCACTTCACAAATTTATTAAAATTTTTTATCATTTTTTAACTGCCTCTATAATTTCCTTTCATTCTTAAACAACATGCTTTGTTGAATATATATAAGTTTACAAAAAAAATGTTTTCAAAATGTCTAAGGAGGAGGGTAAGGAGGTAATCTCCCCCACACCCCCTTTATGGATCCGCCCTTGCTTGGAGCACCTTAATGACCCTTAACAACAACAACAACAACAACAACAACAATAACAACAACAACAACAACAACAACAACAACAACAACAACAACAACAACAATAACAACAACAACAACAACAACAACAGTAACAACAAAAATTATATCAGTCAAGACAATAATTATGTTTGAACAACAATTAAAAAAAGAAACCAATATTTTTTATTAGACAGTCTTCAATTTCATTAGATTTTCACTCTCCTTTACTTTAAGACATACACAGGATCAGCGTCATTTGCCTTACATATGACATAGAGACAGAAAGCGATGGTTGGATGAGTCTAAAAAAGAATTGTCTAAACTTCTATGCTCTTTGTGTTAACAACGTTGTCGCACCCTTGTCTAAGACAGTCCGTAATCTTAAGGAAATGAATTTAAATAATCAAGAGTTACATCATACTTTGATTTGCCAGTTTTGATTAGTTTTTCCTAAACCATGATGAAATATTTTTTTACTATATATTAGGAGATAAATTAGAAGCTGCAAATTATAGACTGCAAATTATGGAAGGTATAGTCAGAGACTGAATACAATCATATTTAATGAAATATAAATTTATATTGAAGTCACAACATGGTTTTGTTAAAAGGAAGTCTTGTTCAACAACTTATTAGAAGCGTCGAATTATAGACTATTGGTTAAACTATCTTCATATGGAATTAGTGGTTTATTATTAAAATGGATTGAAGTTTTTTTAAAATACAGAATTCAAAGAGTTATCTAAGGTGATATTGTTTCTTCATGGCGCGAAATTTTCAGTGGTGTTCCGCAAGGAGCCGTAATAGGGCCCTTATTATTTGTTATTTTTATTAGTTATATATCAAATATATTTAAAAACAAGTCAGAATTGTATGCAGATAATACAAAAATTCTTTTAAAAGTGAATGAAATAAATGTTGAAAACAGCTTGCAAAAAGATCTGGGTAGTGCAGAGGAATGGTCTAAAAAGTGGATCTTGGGTTTTAATTCTAATAAATGTGTTATAATGCATTATGGTATAAATAATCCGCGATTGAAATATACTTTAAATGGTATTGAACTGAAAGATTCTGAATGCGAGAGAGATTTAGGTGTATATTTTTCAACAAACTTGAAATGGAAAAAACAAATTATATTAAGTACTTCTAAAGCAAATTCAATGATGGGTATGTTAAAGATGACATTTTCACGAATTAATGCAAAATTGATTGAAACATTGTATAAGGTATTTATTAGATTTCTTATTGAGTTTGCAGTACCTGTTTGGTCACCTTATTTTAAAGGAGACATATCACTTTTGGAAAAAATTCAACACAGGATGACCAGATTAGTTCCATCATTAAGGAAAATAAATTATGAAAAGAGATTGGAAATATTAGATATATCTACATTGAAAACAAGGAGGGAACGTGGGGATTTAATACAAGTGTTTAAATTACTAAACAGATTCGAGGAAATTGATTTAATTAATGAACCGAAGCTTAAAATTGATTCAATTACTCGAGGTCACAATCTTAAATATGAAAGAGAAATTGTGAACTATTTACCTCGGCATCATTTTTTATTAAATCGTACAGCAAATTTATGGAACGCTTTACCGGAAACTGTTGTTACTTCAAAAACTGTCAATCAATTTAAGAATAAATTAGATAAGTATAATGCCAAATCACAGAAATTTTAACTAAACGTTTTTTAATATATATTTGGAATAATGCTGTCAAAGTGTGATAAACCACACTCGCTGGATTCGTCCAGTTACAGTTTAACTACTAACTAACTAACTAACTAATTAGATTTGTTTCTTCATTTATTATTTATTTATACTGTTTTAACTCTTTGGGGTGCGATACTATCTCATCTTATTGTTCTCAAAATTATAAGACGTTTAAAAGATAAATAAAAAATGGTGTTTAAAAAAGTAAATAAAAACAACGATGTTTAAAAAACAAATAAAGCACTGATGTTTAGAAAAATAAATAAAAACAATGATATTTAGAAAAATAAATAAAAACAACGATGTTTAGAAAAGTAAATAAAAATATCAATGTTTAGAAAAATAAAAAAAACATTGATGTTTAGAAAAATGAACTATTGGTGTAATTGTGCACAGAACTTGTTAACCCATCCTAAAGCCGTAAAACTCAGAAAAACTTAGGCAACAGTTATATCAGTTTTTAAATAGAAATGGTCTAAAGTATTTACTGGTTATTTATATGACGAAGGAATTTATTTAACCCATTTTCTGGCTAACGCTGAAATTGGGCTAAATTAAAAATGTCTCAAATAACGTTAACACTGCCTTATTTGAGATATTTTTATATGTATAACATATAAAAATATCTCATTCAGATGTGTTTTATCCATGTTGTTTAATCCAAAAGTTAAGGTTCAGCTCTAAAAAAGATGTTCTAATTTGTTTCACTAAAGCAGATATATAAAAATATCAATTTGCTAACACAAAATAATAAACAGCAGCTACAAACTGTCATGTAAGTTATGCTGTGAAGCAGGGATGTACACAAGGCAGTATGTGCCGAAGCCAATAAAGAGACCGAGGCTTTTGACCAGTGCTGGAATTTCTTATTGGCGAACAAGGCCACGGTCTAGAGCCCTACATATTTATGGGCCTTAAAATAGGTTTCAAAAATGTTTTAATTTTCAAGGGTTTTTAGAGACATTTAAAAAAAAATATTTTCATGATTTTTGTTTTTTATTTGTTCATCTTTATTTATTAAATTTAAGATCATATAAATTTTAAGTTAATAAGCAAAATTTAAGGTACATAAATAAACTTGGTCTTTAAGAATAATTTTACTCTTTATAAGAACAATTAGCTTCTGAAAATGTTATTCAAGATTCTATACATTTAGAAGTTTAAGAATCATTCGTTGAACACTATGACTTGAACATCGTCAAAAATAATGACAACGGCTTCTGAGAAACTCTTTCTAAGGACAATATTTTATTTTGGATTTTGCAAGGACCAAAATATATGTAACAAATAGACACAGATTTTTAAGAATTGAAATAGATATACATCGATCACAATTGTTTTAGTATAAAATTATTTTTCATTGGTCAATAATATGGGAAAAGTTATAACCGTGAGTAATTGATATACTTTTATTTATAACAGTTTGTGATGTTTATCTGATGGTAAAAAATATACAAAGCACCGTACTACAATGTATACTATATAATATATAAGTTTATTGAGTAAAAGTAATAAATGTCCCAGCCGGCATTTGAAACTAAAAAGACGTCTTTGAACGTTTAAAAGACGTTCTGAACGTCTTTTTAAGACCAAATGCCAACTGAGGTATTTGGTAAAAATAAATGCTTTTAATTATACTTTTATAATTAATTTTTTTAATCGCAAATTAAGCAATACTCCAAAAACAAAGCAAAATTAAATGAAACTCAATAATACAGAGCTAAATTAGCATATATACGCATATACATTCATTTATTTTACGTTTCTTAAAAAAGTTTTACCTGCTACGTCATTTTTTATTGTATTTTTTTAATTCTGCAAACGTGTTTTTGAAAGTTTTTTTTTAATTAAGCAAATTTTTAATAGCTGAGTCATAGCACATATAATAAGTGCATATTTAATAAAGCAATGAATTAAGCCAAAGAATTTTGATAATAATGTATTTTAAATGTAATATAATACCTAATGTATTAATATAATATATTGCCATTAATATATTATCATGGCAATGACTTTTCAGATTTTTGAATATATATTTTAAATGAATATATTTTATTTCAAAAAAACCGATTAGTTAAATGAATTTTTAATATATAAAAATTAATTTTTAATTATTTAAAAACAGATCAATCACGCGACGTGTCTGGATAAAATTAAATCTTTTCAAAACGCCCACAAAAACGTATTTTATCATTCTTTTATATTTTAAATAATTTCTTAAAAATATAAAAATAAAACAAAAAAAAAAACATATTTATTTCTATATTATTTTATTTTTTCAAAATTTAAATTTCTTTAATTTATTTTAAATGCACGTTTAAAAGCTAGAAATGTGCTATCTACTGTTTTAATTTGTAAAAATTATTTTTTACTTAATGTAAATATTATAAAAAATTACTTAAACATATAATCTATATGATGATATAATTTATATTACAATATTTGCATTAAAGTTATCTTGTGACCAAAATTTGTAATTGGACAAATCCATGTCAGAAGATTAAAAATCATATTAAAAATATATTACAATATGCGTTTCTCGACATTATTTTGGCAAATATAAACAATTATTTTGGTAAATATAAACATTATTTTGGTAAATATAAACATTGAAATTATGTTTTCTATGACTATTCTGAAAAAGTATTTTGCTACTCACTGATATTTCATTCATTAAAAATATATAATAACAATAAAAAAATTTAAATTTGTAAGTATAGGCTAATTAGATTAGCAGAATACATCTAATTACAACATATTTTTATTTGTTTAAGTGTTTTATTTTATACTGCGAGTCTTACTCCTCATTTTTTCTTCAACACAAGGTTGTAATCACTCTTATCTGTTGTTTTGTAGTTACTTATGTTTTAAATATTTTTTGTCTGAACGCAACATCATTATTAATAACTTGTTATAACTTATTACATACAACAAAATATATTAATAACAAGTTGTTAATAATGGTTTTGCATTGTTATTCCGTACTTTTTCGTGACGTTTGTAATGTTAAATTTATATAAGCTATATTTATGATTATAACTTTAACTTATCATTCAATGTTTATATCGTTAAATCACGTGATTTTTAAATTTATCTGAACGCAACATTTCTGTACGCAACAAGAAGTTTCTCAACGCAACATGCGTTTGAACGTCTTAACGTGTCTTAACGTCTGAACTTCTTTGTCTTAACGTCTGAACTTCTTTGTCTTGACGTCTGAACGCAACATAAAATATCTGAACAAGACATAAAATTTTTGAACGTGATTTAGTGAAGTATTTCTAACTAAGGGCATACCTTAATTCCTTTATCCAATATGCTATTTGCATTACCCTATATAAACAAATACCTGTACTTTTTGTGTTTTTAAATTCAACGTACCAAACAATTGTAAACAACTGTTCACAAAAGTTAACAATTGAGGAAATTAATTTGGATTAACCATTTAAACGCTTGTTTGTCATAATTTATATTTTAATACTATTTTTTTTAGATATAGGATCAAAAGATTCAAAAGATTTCGTGACTATCATCCAGATTACAAAGTGAAAGAAGTGAACTGAGTACGCTCCTTGAGACAAAACGAGTGACTTTCAGTAAAGTCACTCGAGAGAAAAAACAAACTCGTTGTTTGCTATTCACACTGAAGGAAGCATTTGGAATATTCAAGAATGACAATGCTGGTGTGTCTGTGAAATTTTCAAAATTTGCTTCCAGCAGACCATTTTATGTAAAGCTCCAAAGAAATATTCCAGAAAATGTATGCGTGTGTGTTATACATGCGATTTTTCAGTTTATGATCAACTCACTCGCGACTATAATTTGTCAACCCATACATCAAACTTTTGTTTGCAATCCATCCCGCGAAGAGAGTATGTTTTTTTTGTTTTTGAACATTGTGGCAATCTTCAATATGAGAAGTTTACTGAATGCTGGTTGGAACTGGTGGATGGTACAGATGAAGTGATTTTTGAACAGTGGAGTGGTGGGTTTAATGAAGTTATAACAATGTTCTTTACTGAATTCATGCAACAATTTTTACTAATTTGCCAGCTTTTTTGAGACACTACTTTGTTAAGCAAACTCAAAGTGCCCATTTTTAATTTACCCGCATTACACTTACCCTCCAACTGATGACATTGGAGTGTATTATCTTGAGGAAATTGTTTGCGTAATGCCAAAATTGTTGTATCTATCCTCCTAAAATTGTTGGATCTATCCGTCACTTCCCAAAAGAACACCATGTCAACTATTTAAGTAGCTTAAGATGAGTGTCTTCGTATACCTTTCTGTTGAACATTGTATAAACTCATTTTTGGACAAATATATGTACTCAGTTTTGTTATAAATACAGAATATCTGAAGCAACGAATGGTTTTGTCTGACCGTAACATGCATATCTTTTGATTTAGCTAAGAAAATTTATGCATAATATATGTCTGGATACCAAAAACTTTATGTTATTTTAATATTTTGACCTATGCTTTAAGAATAACTTGATTTATAATGTTTGGCATTAATAGTTTCAGAGAATATTAAAAGAGTACACGCTATTTTTGTTTTGCCTAATTTTATAGTTCTGAACGCAAAATTACTTTTAGGCGTAAGTTGAACGAAAAGTAATCTTAAGTTCGGACAGCAATTTAAATATTATAGACTTATAGACTTATAGTCTCCAAAACGGTATTATAAAGCTATTTTTTATATTTAAATTCATATTTATTTGGAAAAGTTATTCAAAACCATTAGCAATACTGCAATTCTTGTAAAATCTCCATTATTGTCTAAATGCGACGGAGTGGAATTGCCGAATTGTATTTAATCGTATTAGGGCCGTATAAGGGCAAAGGCTAAGGAGGCTAAAACCACAAGCCCATCGCAAAAAATAGGCCTTCTGAAGAAAAGATCAAAAAATTATAAAATATAGGCCCACTCCTAGAAAATATTGACAAAAAAAAACGCCCATCTTTAAAAACGTCAAAAAGGAAAAAACACCAAATTATCAACAATTGGATATTTAAACTCGCGGCCTCACATATTAAATCAACTATCAAACACGGAAACCTAGACACTGCAACAATATATTTTACTTTGATGCACGAATTGCCTTTTTCTCGTTTTAGTTTTGTTTATATCCGATTTAATAAAAAAATTAGCACGTCAGAAGGTGCTAATTTTTAATTTAATAAAAGGTGTTTTTTAGTTTTATAAAAATTAAGTGTTTTATTTTAGCACGCAAAACTAAAAAACGAGGAGGTGGAGTACTTTTTTATGTAAGGGAAGGAATACGGTTTATAAATAAGTATTTCTGATGCCGACAAAGAGGCCTTAACAATTGAAATTTTAGCCAAAAAAACTAAAAATATGCTTATAAGTTGCTGTTATCACCCATCATCTGATAAAATAAATAGTTTTAAATTATATTTAATTACCAATATCATAAAAAAAATGGCAATAGAAAAGAAATTAAACTACATAATTGGCAACATAAATTTAAACGCATTCAAATATCACATAAATTGCAAAACTAATGGATTTTATAATGATTTATTTGAAAACGGTGCATATCCGTTAATTAATAGACCAACAAGGGTAACTTCAATGTCTGCTTCCTTAATAGATAACATTAATTAAAAGCGTCAGATCATTTCCCGAATTTTTTCTCGATAAATATGGATATTGACTTACCGAAACAAAATCAAGTTTACTTCAAACGATGCTTTAGTCAAGCAAACATAATATCGTTTAATGAGCAGCTATCTTACTACACTGCAAACATATAAATTTTTCATCTGAAGCAAATCTAGTTTATAACTCGTTCTTTAAAACATTTTTTGAAGTTTATGACGCAAACTTTCCTTTATGCGAAGTAAGTCAAAAAAAAAAAAAGCATTAAGTCGCCATGGATTACCAAAGAACTTAGAAAATTGTCCAAAGTTAAACAAAAATTGTATATTAAGTATCTAAAGTCAAAAAGTGATAAAAATAAGGCGATTTACAAAAATCACGTTAAAAATTTTAAATTTTTAACGTGATTTTTATTAATCACGTTAAAAATTCAAATATAATGCGATTTATAAAAATCACGTTAAAAATTTTGAATTAACATGTGGTGTTCCCCGAGGGTCTATACTAAGGCCACTACTTTTTCTCCTTTATGTTAATGATCTGCAGAATGCCTCAAACGTGAAGACAGTAATGTTTGCTGATGATACAAATCTTTTTCTATCCGGTAAAAATATCATTATACTATTTAATGAAATCAACATAGAACTAATTAAAGTTTCAAATTAGTTTATGTCAAATAAACTATCAATTAACTTGGAAAAAACTAAATGGACTTTATTTCATTCAAAATCCCCAAAAACCTTTTTACCAAATGATATGCCTCAAATATATATTGACAATGTTCAAATAAAAAAATCAAAAGTTATACATTTCCTTAGTGTTTTCATTGTTGAAAATCTAACTTGGAAAAACCATATCGAAATTTTGCGCAATAAAGTTTCAAAAAATATTGGAGTAATGTATAAAGCGAGAAATTTTGTAAATAGACATTCATTAATTCAACTTTATCGCTCGCTAATTCAATGCCATATAAACTATGCAAATATCGCATGGGGCAGTGCTAATAAAAATTTAATTAGATCCTCTATATCGGCAACAGAAGCATATAGCACGTTTAATAAACTTTAAAGATCGTTATACTCATGCCAGACCTCTTTTATTGGAAATGAATGTTCTTTTATTTATGTACAAATGTAAGATGAACCTAACCCCTATATCCTTTCAAAATTTATATGCAATAAAACAAAAAAACAAATAAGAGATGACAATCTTATTGATCAACATTATTCTCATACAAGTTTTGGAAGATCTCTTTTAACATATCGCGGAGCTCTTCTGTGGAACAAAATAGTTTTGAAAAATTTTGATTTTTTTCAAAGTTCGAGTTTTCTTACTTTTAAAATTAAGCTGAAAAAAGTTATCTTGTCAATTGATAATATCTTTGACTTCTTTTGATTTTATACCTTTTAAAAAAGTGTGTGATTCCTGAATATATTGTTTTGTTTTGAAACATTTAGTTTTATATATATTCTTTATGTTGTTAAACGTTATTTTATGTTT